AAAAAAACACATCATTTCTGATAACTAAGAGTAAATTTCACGTTTGATCCTTAACTTCATTTTTTAATTTGAATCGTCCCTATAACATGTTTTTGTTATGTATTTGGTTCCCTTCTTAACGTAAAAAATACTATTTTGCTCTTTACTAATTTATTTTTTAATTTAATTATTTTATATAATTATTTATATTATTATTAAAATATAATGGACTCCACCCAATCCCGCCCTTTTGAAATTCGCTTCCTTCGAATCCCCTACAACAACGAAGACTACCCAACCATGGACATCATCTTCCTTCACCTCCACCCACCTTCTGAAATCTTAAATTCCCAACAAAAAACGTACTTTCTCCAAGTAGGCGGAATAGAGACAATGATCCAAACGTCGACGTACGTTAGGGTTCTTCTACTCATGAAACATCGATTAATGGATTGAGCTTCATAAACAAACAAAACTTCCAACAATGACGACATATACATCAAATCCTCTTTCATTGTTACCATTCTCAACTCCGAATTACTACCACGATGATTTTATATTCGTTGAAGAATCGCTGATCAAAAATCTCAATAAACGGAAAAAAAACAAAAAGTATAAATACACATATTTGAAAAATCCAAATATATATGCATTTTGTGAATTAAAATGATGTCATGAGTCATATTGAAAAATTAAGAATAAGGATGATAATTTCTAAATGGAACAAGGATCGTGGAGAGTCGATGTGTCAAGTCTTGACATTTTGTCTGTTGGAAATAATAATCTAATTGTATGCATTATTAAAGGTAAATTATCGTTCACAGTATGAGCTGATAAAAAGTGTAAAGAAGCAGAAAAGAAAATAATGTCAAGTATTACAAGCTTAAAACTCAAGTCTTTTATATATAAAAAAACAAATAATTATAGTTGGATTACAAGAAGTGGTTGAATACCACTCAAATTTATAGCTTAAAAAGATTAATACTATAATACAAAAGTAATCTACCCATATCTAGATATATTTCATTAATCCTAGAAAATCTACAATTATTTATTATTAAAGTTGATTAGAATCTTTAAATAATTATACCAAACAATTGTTTATTAATAAAAGCTATCATCCCATGAGAAAAAAATTACTTTTCTATTATACCTTAATACCCTTCATTTTCTATCATTCCTTTTATTTTCTATCTTTCCAAAAATTTTAACTAACAAGCTATACAACAATTCATTTTATTATTATAAATATTATTACCCACTTTAATATCACATTGTCTTTATCACTTAAAGGGAACTTGGTGAAAAAAAATATAAAGACTTCAAGTCAACTTTTGTTTTTCCGATTTTTCCGCGTTGTTATTTTATCCATTCACTAAAAATAAAAGACAAAATTGCAAAAATGGTCCCTGTGGTATCCATTTTTTTGGGGTTTTAGTCCAAACCCCGACTTTTTTGGGTTGATGGTCCTTTTGAGCCAGTTTACTTGCAATTTCGGTCTCTGTTCAAACTAAAAATACTATTATACCCTTTATGAATTTAGTTTTCATTTTTCTTTCAATTTTTAAAATTATTATTATTATTAAATATACAATTGGGCCCACATCTATCTCTCTCTCTCTCTCTCTCTCTCTCTCTCTCTCTCTCTCTCTCTCTCTCTCTCTCTCTCTCTCTCTCTCTAGAAATCAGCATCGGATACCCACCTTTCTTTCATCTTTCTTGTAAACCACATTGAAACCTAGAAAACCATTGTTGTTGCCAACATGATTTCGTGACGTCGGCTCAATACCCCACACCTGCTTGACACCAACAAAACAAACCATTGTTGACCTCTTCCCCTTCTCCTGATGTTGTCGATTTTTGAGTGTGAGGGTAAGCACAAACCAGTTGAGGGACAAAGGAGATGATGGGTACGCTCAATTCAATGAAAGTCTAAATCCTAATCCAAACCCCGTCTTCATCTCCGATTTTCCTCGGATGAAGATGGATTCACAATATGAAGATGATTTGGATCAATTTATGTTTCTCTGTATTTCTTTTTTCGTTTCTTAAACTGCTAAAATATATCAGTTTCCCCACAGCCTTCGCATCACTAAGAACCACCATTCATCTTCTCTACACTCTCCGCCAAACACCATCACTGAATCACCATATTCATACCTATATCGATTCAAATGGAGAAATAGATGAATTTCTTTTGGATTTGACCTGCAATTTAGTTCAAATAGGGGGAAGAAGGTGGGTTTCCACCGGAACCTCAATCTTTGCTACTAACTTTGATTTATAAAGAAAATGGAGGAAGAGAAGGACCTTTGGTCTGTATGTCACTTTGATTTATAGAGAAACCTTAGTTCACTTAGGCGTTTCATCGATCACTTGGTATACGATGTTTAATCTCCCTCAGTTAACTCAACAAGATGATGGTTATGTTTGAGATTAATGGTGGTGGAGTAGATGAGGGTTTAGTTGGTATAAGTAGCAGGGGAGTCACCAAGTTGGGGGAAACGATGATGAAGAAGAGGATGACGATGACAAATCTTTTTGGGAAGTGAGAGGGAGTAAGGACGATGGATCCTTTTATATATTCATCTTTTGAGTCAATCACAGAAAAACCCAAATTTTGTATTTGATGAAATCCACCAGAGAAATTGAAAACTCAAATCTTGTTTCTTCTTCTCCAATTTGTTATTTGTTCTACCTGGTTTTTTTATATTCTTTCACCATCTTCTTTGTTGAATGTTGAACAAACATTCACTGAGTTCTAATGAGAGAGAGAGAGAGACGAGAGAGATGAGAGAGGTGGAGGAGGAGAGTGACGAGAGAGGAGAGGAGAAGAGAGAGAGAGCGGAGAGAGAGAGAGGAGAGAGGAGGAGAGAGAGAGAGAGAGGAGAGAGAGTTCTAATGAAAAGCAACGAGAGAGAGAGAGAGAGATGAGAGAGAGGCCCCATAATTATTATTAATAAAACTTTAAATTAAATAGAAAAATCATAAAAAATGTATCAGAAGGGCATTTTAGTTTTTTCAATTTTCTGAGGGACCAAAAACGCAATGAAACTAGCTCAAAAGGACCAAAAATTTGCATACCACATGGACCATTTTTGCAATTTTGTCAAAATAAAATGAATAGACAATTATACCCTCACTTAATTCAACCCTCATTTAATTTACTCTAAATAATAACAGAGTTAATTATAAAACTCAACACGTCACCTACATATGTCAAGAACACAGTTTTTGGCGAATTGTTTTGGGAACAAACACACTTTCGGATAAAAAGCCATTACTATAGTGATTGCAATTTGTCTTCTTTTTTGGGTTTCATTAGCTGAAGGATAGTTGTTGATTAAGCGTGAGATCATTACCGATTATGATGAGTCGGAAGAGGTCGGGGAAACTAAAGTTGCCCAGATTCAGTACAAAGCACCTCTTTGCTGTTATTCTGGTACAATCATGGCATTTGACACTGTTCTATATAAAATTAGGCAAAATAATCAAAATTTTCATATAATGAAAAAGAGGGTTATGTTTGTTTTGTGCTGAAATTGATGATAAAAGAGGCAATTAAGCATTACAGAGTAAACAAAAACTCAAAGCCTATATAACAAAGGACATAAAGATTATAAGAAAATAACAAAATTAATCATGTAAAATCGGAATTCAAACAAGTACATAAACTAAAAACGGAAATGACACCACAAATCTTGATGGGTGCTTCGAGCTCTAACAAAATCTGGCTGTCACAAGAAAATCTCTCTAGAAACAACACAAAGTTTCTTGATTTCTTAGCAAGTTTACCAGGTCCCCCTTCACCTTTAAGCGACCTACGAATTATAATATAATAACATATTACTTTGTCTTTTATGATGATGAATCAATAAAGACGTGTATGAATTATCAGAAAATCGTTGAAAGGAAAGATGGGTTTGTGGGTTCTTGTAATAAAGATTGAAAGAGAATATGTAACAATCTAACTTTGTTTGATAAAACATTGCGATTGGAGGGAAGCATCAACAGACGAATATAGGAAGAAGAAGAAGAAGAGTGCGTGCTATCGGAGGGAAGAAGCAGGTCAGAAGGAGTAAGAAGAGTGTGTATGTCGTTTGAAGTGAATCTAGAACTTTCTCTCTTCTTCAATATCAGTAATTAAAAAAGAAAAAGGGCATAATTATCAATGTATATATTTTGCAGTGGATGGATAAATATCATCCGTGGAAATATCAATTCTCTTTTTCATACGGTAAAAAATACCCTAGAAAGACTACAAAATATATTTCCTGAAATCCTATTCAAGATAACAAAATATAAGGATCAAGCATTTAAAATTATCCAAGAATAGAAGTGTGATGTTCTTGATGATTTCGCAAGTACATGAAAAAGAAAGATGATTTCTTAGCATTAATATACAAGTTCAAAAATGGAAGGTCGCCGGCTACAATTTCCCATTAAAATAATATAAACCATGAAATATCTTTTACAGTATAACTGTTATATTGATGTCAACTGTTATATCTATTTTTAACTTTCAAGTAGAATTATGATATATTGTAAAATTAAGAAAAAGGTATCTAAATTCCAAAGATGTCATATTCTTTAACTTTGGATTATGGTGAGTGGGGACGTATTAGATGGGCACAAAATGGGAAACACATGAAGCTATAAGAAAAAGGTGTCAAAATTCCAAAGATGTCTTATTCTTAACTTTGGACTATGGTCATGAGTGGGGACCTATTAAATGTGCACAAAATGAGAAACACAAATGGATGCAAGTTGGGAGTTTCAGTGTGAAAGCTTACTATTTTAGTCACAGAAGACATCACATCTTGTAGCCTAAATGTTACAAGGACTTCCACTTGAGAACACATAGACCTGGAAGATACATATATAATGTAGTCTCGAGAACACCGATGATATAAGTTTCTAACCTTTTCAGTTGGACATTTAAAATGAATCACGTCATCTTTTTTGCCTCCCTTCTCTCTTGTTTACTTTACGTACACTCTACTACAGACCACAACATTTCCATGTCTATCTGCCCAGAGAGTTTCAGTTGCCCAAATCCGAATTTTGCCTCATTCAAGTACCCGTTTTATAATAATGCCACTGATAACAAGCAATGTGGGTTGATCCAGGTCAACTGTACTTTGAATGGTGGGATAATTCAACTTGGAGGAGACTCATATGAGATTGTTGGCAAGTATGTGTCTGAATCAGTCGTATCGATCCGTAATCTAACGTTTGAAAGACTTGTGAATGATAGCAGTTGTGGGGCACTTATGGATAATTTCACTTCTCCAATTCCTCTTTTGTATTCCATCTCAATCGTATCCTTCATCACTCTCTACAAATGCACAAACAATACCAATTATCCTACTCAAAACGATGCTTATTTTGGCAGATCTAATTACCATAGATACAACACATGCAAAAACCACAAATTCTACTATAAGTATAGTATAAGTGATACAACGGTTCCAAGCGGATCTCCCACCTACATGTCAAGTAGTACGCCTACCAGTCAAATTAGTGCGAGGGCCAGAAGACAATAAAGGAATTGACGAAACCAACATATTTTCTTTTCTCTCTCCTCGCTTCTCTATTTATTTTCATTTGTCACCTTCCTGCCACAAGTGTCACCAGGAAGGCGGCCAGTGTCATACTCTAGATGGACATGTTCAGTGTCTAGACGCCAAAAAGGGTATTTCTTCCTTCTTTTTTTCTTATTCTGGGTACACCAAATATAAATCGTCTATAAGCATATTCGTAAAATTAATTTTTCTTGTCTTATCTTTTGTTGTTTACTTGCAGCAGAAAAAAGAGGCAGAAAACTGACACGAATCCTAAGTAATATATCTCCTTGATTGAATGCAGCATTAATAGATATATAAATGCACAAACACATATACATGTAGGAATTTGTACCTGATGCTATTGCCTTATCTTGCTCTAGTTTTCGCTGGATCTGCCTTCATCCTCATGCTATTTCTTGTCATCTTCATGATCTGGTGTCGGTACAAGGGCAACCCTATTTCATATTGCACATCAAAGAACAAATCTCCAATCATTGAAGATCAGGTTTTCTTCTTTGGCGTCTCTGTTTTCTCCTACAAGGATCTTTGAGGATGCCACCAGAAATTTTGACCCTGCTCAAGAACTAGGGAATGGAGGTTTTGGAGTTGTTTACTATGGTGAGAACTTTACACCTGCTAATAAATCCCTACTATTCACAAATAACAATATCGTGGATTGTACATTTTTCATTTCGGTTATTCAAATTTGATAAAAGGTAAACTCCAAGATGGACGAGAAGTTGCAGTGAAGAGACTTTATGAGCATAACTGCAAGCGAGTTCAGCAATTCATGAATGAGGTTCAAATCCTCACCAGATTACGCCACCCTAACCTTGTTGTGCTGTATGGTTGCACCTCTCGACAAAGCCATGAACTTCTTCTTGTGTATGAGTACATTTCCAATGGCACACTTGCTGACCACATCCATGGAGAACAAGCAAATTCAAGCTTACTAGCATGGCCATTACGGATGAATATCGCCATTCAAACTGCCAGATCTCTAGTGTACCTCCATGCCTCTGAAATCATTCACCGAGATGTCAAGACTAGTAACATTCTCCTTGATCACAATTTCTGTGCCAAAGTAGCAGATTTTGGGCTCTCAAGGCTCTTACCAAATGATGTCACTCATGTGTCTACAGCTCCTCAGGGGACCCCAGGTTACTTGGATCCTCAATATCATCATCATTACCAATTAACAGACAAGAGTGATGTTTACAGCTTTGGAGTGGTCTTGATCGAACTGATATCATCCATGGTGGCTGTTGATTTAAGTAGGACTCAAGACGATATCAGTTTGGTTAATCTGGCTTTAAACAGGATCCAAAGATGTGCGTTTGATCAATTGATCGACCCGGTTTTAGGATCCGATTCAGATCCTGAAGTCATGAGGATGGTTACATCGGTAGCAGAGTTGGCTTTTCGGTGTTTACAGTTTTATTCGGAAATGAGGCCTACAATGAATGAAGTGTTGGATGTGTTGGTGGATATTCAGTCGCAGGGGAGAATAGATGTTGACGACAGCATCAGAGAGTTGGAAGAAGTAATAACGCCACCTCTGTCTGAAAACAATGATAAGACGGTTGTGTTGAAAGATTTTCTACCTTCGCCAGTCTCCATCACCGGTGAATGGCATAGTAATAGCACCGTATCAACTACACTAAACGTCAGATAGAATGCAATTCCAATCTCGAAAGACAGAAACACAATGTATTGTTGGTGGGTGAACCACCCGGTCACTAAAACCCTAGATAACGCTGGATTGAGATGTAAAACCCACAAAAACTACAAAATATTGTTGAAAATAGTGTACAATAGATAATACTAATATTAATATATACTTAGGCGGCGTTTAGTTCACAGAATGTTTTTGAAGGAATTAGAATCTGTTGAGGAATTGGAATCTGTCCTGAATTGGAATCCAATTCAATATTCTGTTTGGTTAGCAAAAAATGGAATTTGAATTCATTTTTATATTTTGTTTGGTTGGCGGAAAATGGAATTGAAATAATGTAAAATGATAGAACTACCCTTTTTGATTTTTGCTTACTTTTACTTTGCTTTATAATTATATGTAAAGATATATTATATAAATTATAAAAATAGTAAACGGTGATGGTGGCAGAAGCGACGATGGTGGTTATGGCGGTAGTGTGTGGTGATGACGAAGGTGGAGGTGGTGGTAGTAGTGGCATCACTAGTTTTGATGGTAGAGGCAGCGATGGTTGTGGCGTTGGGTGTTAGTGGTTGCGGTGGTGGTGGTGGTGGGTGCGGGTGGCGGCGACAGTGGTGGTGGTGGTGGTGACATAGAGGTGATGGTCGTGATGATAGAGTTAGTCGTAACAATAGTAGTGGTAGGGTGGTGGTGTAGGTGGTAACGAAGGTTATGGGTAGTGGTGGTAGTGGTGGTGGTTGTGTCGGTGGTGGTGGTGGTGGGTGGTAGTGGAGGTGGTGGGTAGTGGTGGAGGTGGTCGCGAGTAGTGACGGTGGTTTTTCATATTTAATGTTATAAATGAAAAGGGTATTATGGTAATCTTCAACATTCCCACTTGAAGGAATTTGAATTTCCTCATTTTTTAGATGAAATTTATTTTCCTTCAATGGAAGGAAAGTTGGACACATTTAGGAATCCAATTCCTTCTCAAAACTTGAACCAAACATAGGAAAGTGATGGAATTAAATTCCAATTCCTTCCGATTCCAACAGATTCCAGCGAACCAAACGACCCCTTAATAATAGGGTTTTTTTTTCTATTACGGTAATACTAATATTAATACTAGGGTTTTTTTTTGTTACACACAAGGACATATGTAATAAACAATTTACATCAGTGGTTTATTCTGGGTCTAATTTGTTAATTCATTAAGTGTTAAATTAATGGGGTAATTACTAATCTAGCAAAATTAAGGAAGTGATTATCAAATTTTAGCCAAAAATTAGTAAATGTCCAAATATAGCCCACGAAACCGTAGGTTTCTAAAATCGTCTACTGTTTCGCCATATTGTCTACTGTTTCGTGTTTTGTATAAATTTTTTTTTCATTTGTAAGCTACAAAACCGTAGGTTTTGGGAAACCTACGGTTTCCTCTCGGTTAAGCTACGGTATCCCAAACCGCAGCCTACGGTTTTGGGGGAAAATACGGTTTTTTTTTTTAGTCTACTGTTTTTGGGGTTTCGTCTACTGTTTGTGAAAAAACCTACGGTTTTAATTTTTTTTAAATTTTTTTAAATTTTTTTATAAAATGTAGAATTATTTTAACAATTATTTTATTAAATATTTTTAAGAATTCAAAAAATTAGACTTTAAAAAAAAACCGTATTCTTTTTGTGATATAGAGTATTAAAAAGATTGTTTATAAGATGTAGAATTATTTTAACAATTATATTGTTTATAAAATGTAGAGTTATTTTTCGACAATTATTTTGTTAAAAAATATTTTTTGTAAAATATAAAAACTAGTTTTGCTAAACTTGACTACTTTTTTGTCAGAGTGGACTACTGTTTTGTAAAACTTGACTACTTTTTTGTCAGAGTGGACTACTGTTTTGTTAAACATAACTATTTTTTTGTCAGAGTGGATTACTATTTTGAACCTACCCTATATATATTAAGTATTTCATATTTTTGAAATTATTTCATATTTTGAAAACTGCACTTCTCTCTAGTTTCTTTATTCTCAAAATTAACATAATGAGTTGTAATGAGTATTTCGTATTGCTCATTACGGATGGAAGATGGGAGTTTGTTAATTCCCAATTATCATATGTTTGGCCACCCGAATACAATCCGAGAATGTTTTATTTCGGTGTTGAATTTTACGAAAGCACCACGTACACCGAATTTGTTCGTTTGGTGAAGTGCAAAAATGGGTCTTCCCGAAGAATCAAAAGTCAGTCTGGCTTATCAACATCCAGAACAACTCTATTATTGTGGTATTGTTGATGATCGTGATATTAGAAAGCTGATCAAGGTAATAAATACCGTTGGAGATAAATCTGTGTCTGTCTATGTGGTGGTTGAAGAAGGCGTATCGCGTAACGAAGTGGATGATAGAGGAAAGGCATCTGCAGCTAATTTATCAAGTGGAAAAGGGAGCAACAACCCAATAGGTAATTTTAAAAGTCCAAGTAAAAGTCAATATCATAGTGTCGCTGAAAATGTAAATGTAGTGCCTGTAGTGCCAGAACCGATTATGTATGTTACACCGGAGAATTATAAGTATATCGATGATAATGATGTTGGTACATATGTTAATGATGTTGGTGTAAATCATTACTTTGACCAAAAAAAACACTAGATGTGGTGGATAAGGTTGGTAATAAATCTGCAAAACAAGAAGTTCCATTTTTGCATGATGGTGAACTAAAAGGATATGACGAGTTTGCGGATTGTGATAAGTTGGATATATCCGACCTAAAGAGTGATTCTAACGGAGAAGAATTTGATGATGAAGCTAAACTTATTTATTCAGATACCATGTTTCATGGTATGCCCCCATTGCCTTCGTGTCCTGTAAACGATGATGTGAACATTCCATGTCAGAGGGTGGATATAAATGAAGAGATTAAGGTTCTAGACATTTTTGATGACAAAGAGTTGCTCAAGCTTGCAATTGGAAGACAATGCATGGAACAAGGTAAGTAGTATAAGACTACCAGATCGAGGAAAGAGAGGTTCGAGGTGGTTTGTTTAGTAGAAAATTCTTCTTGGATGGTTAGGGCAAGGGGAATCAAATCGACTACTGCTTTCCAAGTCACAAAAGTTGTTGACCAACACACTTGTTGTGCAACAAACTTGGAGTCTAATCATCGACAATCAAAGAAAAAGGTACTCGGGCACTTTATCGTTGAAGTATTGGCCGGAGATTATAATAGAGTTTATCGGGGTAATGAAATTGTGAGGGACATCAATTCGAAATTTCCAATCAATATCTCATACCAACAGGCATGGCGGGCAAAACAATATGCGTTGTTTATGTTAAGAGGTACCAAAGAGGATTCATTCACTAAACTACCAGCGTATCTGCACAACTTGGTGAAGCACAATCCAGGAACTGTTACTCAGATAAGAACAGACGATGATGATCGGTTTGAGTTCGTGTTTATCGCGTTGGGTTGCTCGGTAAGCAGTGATAATTTTTATAACAAATATAACATATGAATCCTAATTGGTATTTGTTAATGCAATCAAAAATAATTGTAGGTACGAGCGTTCATAAAATATTGTAGGCCGACCCTAATAATTGATGGTGGTCACCTAAAGGGTGAATTCAAAGGTACGATGTTGCTCGCAGTGACAATGGACGGTCAAAACCAAATCATGCCTGTTGCTTATGCCATATGCAAAAGTGAATGTACGGAGACGTGGTCCTGGTTCCTTCGAAAACTACGTGAATGTATAGGCAACCTGGAAGACCTTACAATCATATCTGATAGGGCTCCATCCATAGCGACGTCAATTGCAAATATATTTCCTCACGCCCATCATGGAATATGTGGTATCCATTTGTATTTCAACATTTCAGCAAAATTTGGAAGCAGTGATACAATACACGCATTATTTTGGGAGACATGCAAAGCGTATACTATTAAAAAAATTCGATAATGGGATGAAAAAAATTAAAAATGTAAATAATCGTGTATGGGAATACCTACAAAACATCAATCCAGAAAGATGGGCCAGGGCACATTTTCCTGGGAATCGGTATTTTCTTATGACATCAAATAGTGCGGAGTCGATAAATTCAATGTCAAGATTTGCAAGAAAGATGCCAATATTGATGTTGATTGAGTATTTTCGTGCAACAATGCAACAATGGAGTTTTCAGAAACGTAATGTTGCAGGTATTAACAGTTTATATATAATAGTACTTGAAATGTTATTTTTACTACTCTTATGATATTATGAAATTATGTCTATTTTTTTAGCTGAAACAAAAACAACACTCACCCCATGGGTTGAAACGATTATACAAGCTAATAAGAATGCTTGTAATAATTGGATGGTGTACCATATCTCAAATAGCATATTTGAAGTGAAAAGCTCTACTCACAAAAGTGCCATTGTTGATTTCCAACAAAGAACCTGTACATGTAGGCGGTGGCAAATAAATGGCTTACCTTGTGGCCATGTCATAAAAGTGCTAACAATGAGCCGTTATGAAGATTGTTTGGAATTTGCTTTAAAAGCTTACTTTACAGAGACACTGAGGAAAACTTACGAGGAGTCTGTGAACCCCTTACCAAGTCCATCTGAGTGGGAGATCCCGGATGATTTGATGACCGTGAAGCCACCCATAATGGAGAGACGTCAGCCGGGTAGGCCAAGAAACACTGGTCGTATTCCGTCACAAGGTGAGCGTCCCATACGACAAGAATGTTCTACATGCGGTCAATTTGGACACACGAGGAACGATTGTATGGGTAGGGGATCGGGGAGCGGATCTGGGGGAGGAAAAAATCTACACAAAAGGGCATAATGACTGATGAATTTGCATCCGGAAGCGGGTCACAGAACGAAAGCGTGTACCCTACTTTTGATTTCAACAACACATTTGATTTAAATTGTCCTTAGATTAATGTAGGAAAGTAATGAATTCCCGTATTTGTAATTTGTATTGCTTGTATTAAACTGCACTTATGAGATTATTAATTAAATCTACTTTATTCCATGAA